GTAGAACAATTAAGAGGAGATTTTTTTATTTTTTATTTTTTTATTTCTGGACTTTGCTTGCTTTCCACTCTACCACAAGGGTAAAAGTACGTTTGCCTTATTCACCTGAGTCCCAGCTGGGAAGCGTCCCAAAAGACGGGCAGGATTTAGCAACACGTTGTCTTTCTGGAGTATCCACAACAAGGAGTTTGAAGGGAGGATTCAGCCAACCCAAGGCAGAGAGGCAAGCTGTGGAGGGGGTAGGAAAAAAAAACTTGCTCCCTCCTGCAGCTACATCAGATGCAAAAAAACAAAAACAAACAAACAAAAAAAGCCTTGCTGCTTCAGAGGCAAAGCCCAAACTCCAAAACCAAGTTACCTATGCAGCCACAGATTTCCACTTCCTAGGAACAAGGGACAGTACAGTGCCTTCTGCTTCCCACCACTACCAAGGGCACTGACTCTGCCTGCCTGCTCTTGCACAGAAGCAAAAAAACAAAACAAAACACACCATAATTGTCTCAATATCCTTCCCATAACTGATCAACAGTGGGGCAATCACCACTCTGGGCAAGTTCCTTCAAACGTCTGTGCCGATTGCACTGCTCTCAGAGGAAGAAGAGTAAACTTCTGATCTACATAAGCTAGCAACCTTTGTCAATTGATACAGTTATACCCAAAATCAAAGATATCTGCCAACAATGCTCATTTCTGAAGTCTTTGTTTCCTGTAAGGAATTATATCTCTTGGCAAGAGCCGGAAATGAACACTCATCAAAAATACATATTGGTTGTAAATGCAGAGAGATACATTCAGCAAGGTTGGTTAAGAGAAGAATAATCAAGCAACAAACATCAGTATTTAAGAGAGCAGAAGGTCTTGGACCTTCTAGAGCTGTTTTACAAAAATAATCCAAATATTTCTAGAATGGTACTGCTGCCAGAAGAAAGAAATTAATATCCCAATCCATTCCTCTGTCGTGCCCTCAGTTTCCAACTTCTCCCCTCAGAAAGCAGCAAGGGTGAAGAAAAATTTCACCTAAGTTTTCCTCCATTATTTTGTCCAGCTCTGTTACATCTGTAATCATGTCCATACCTTGTAGTTGGCTAAAACTGGCTGTACTCCCTTTGATCTCTCTTCAAGTAGCAGTGTGCACTGATTCTTGGGAAGGAGAGCCTGGTGACCTCGTGAACTCATGATGTGCTTTTTCAGCTTGGCTCACACTCAATGCAGTTTTGCTGGTGTTTGTTTGTTTGTTTTTGTTTTTAAACTGAAATATTTAATTAATTTGTGATTCAGTTCTGAAAAGGAGTTGAAAAAAATATTAGGCTCTGCAAATCAATTGCATCCACAGCTACAGCTCTGCAGCCCCACGGTCACCAGTGGGACCTCACCGCTGCACGTGTTTGGGGCTCACTAGATTAATGTGCCAACCTGCCAGTAGGATGGGCTCTGGAGACTTCAGAGGGATAAAAATAAGGATTTCTCACTTCCCACTACGAACACGTCAGGCTGAAGGTGAGGCTGAATACCAACAGAGAAGTGCCAGGAGGTGACCTTTCCACGGTGACTTTGCTTCCTGTGCAAACCCCAAAAGGTGAGCCCTGCTGTACGCAGTAAGCAACTAGAACTGAAGTTACAAAATTAGGACCATTTGGTGTTACTAAAGGACTTGTGGTCTTTTAGTAACACCAAATCATTGCTCTAGAAAACAGCATGGAAATTCAGAGCAACTGCTTTGGTTTTTTTCTTATTAACTGGTGTGGTAATTTATTCTTGTGAATAACGAGCCCTAACTCTGGTCATTTACAAGCATGTCCCAAAACAGTCACAATTTACCTCTAGTTGTCTCAGGGCAGCCGCTGATAAATGGGCCATGCTGCCAAAGGAGGAGTAAAATATAAGTAGTTTGGGTTCTTTACAGTAAATACTGCCTAGCTGCCTATATTAATTGAGAGAGCGAGCACATTATATAAGGAGATTAGACCATGTCATATTTACAACCCCAGTGTCCCCAGCGAGAGAAATTGCTCAGCTGTTACTGTCAGTGCCTTCTTCAAACAGGAACCCCGCTGACAAGATGATGAATTCAGAACATCGTTGCCAATTAATGATTTGTAGGCAGAAGGGATTTCAATAGTTCCCATATGTCTGTGAGGGTGACTGGGATTTGCATCGTCTCTAATAAGAGCGTAGTCTGCTTTGTCCAGACGTGACACTGGAGCTTGGAAAATGTCAGCTTTGCAGGGGAAATTTTAATAAACAAAGCCAGGCTCTTCGGGGTGGAAAACGTTTCCCAAGGCACAGCCAGTAATAACCTGCTTAACAGTAAGCGAAAGCAAGCGGGGAGACTGCCTGCAAGATGCGCTTAAATGATTTGCAAACCAAAGGTCAGAAGTTATTTAGGTGTTTGTCAGAGCTACGCCACGGACTGCCACAATGACCATTGTGTCAGCCAGGAGCGCAGAGCACACCTCCTAAATACAAGTCAGGCTGTGAAAAAGCCACCCGCATCAACACAAAATTCATCACAGGACGCCTTCCTCGGCACAAGTTACTCCCCTGATGGGCTGCAGCTCACTTCACTACCCTGTAAAAAAGAAGCTCAGCCTTGTGAATGCAACAAGATCCCAACCAGAAAGCGTTCTGCTCACCAAAGGCATCAGCACGAGCTCCGTATGCACTGAAGGCAGGCATCCCGAGCAGCCTAAGGCTAACGTGTCCTATCGACTGAGCATCTCTGAGCACCGACCAGCAGGAAACACTCGGCACAGTGACCTGGGTTAAACACAGGACACCCGAGTGGGGCCCTCACACAGACTTTGCCACAGGCACTTCGATCCCGACATGCCATTGATTTGGTGACGGAATTTCGGGCTTTCCTACAAATGAGGATTATAGATTCAGCAGCTCCGGAGTAGTTCAAGCCTTTTGCTGGGGGTGCAGGCTGTGGTTGGAGTACAAAAGCAGTTTCTGGGGGGTTTGCCTCACAGAAGGACAAGGGTACATCACCACGAGGCAGCCGTATATTTGCAAACTCTGCCCACACTCCTACCCAGCATAATCTTAAATTATGACCAAACACCGTACACCAAAGTGACTTAGAAAAGTCCATAGAAACAAAAAATCCCACTCACACCCCCAAACGTAAAGCAGAATCTGAAATCACTAAGGTCTCCTGGAAGCATACTCCAGATGGCAATCTCAGAACTACCAGAGATGTAGCTGCTCCGTACTTGGTAATCTTAAAGATCTTTACCAACCTAAGCATCTGGTTTAAGCCAGTAGTGCTTTTTTTTCTTTTGTTTTGGGTGTGCGTTTATTATTATTATTATTATTATTGTTGTTGTGGTGGCTTTTTGCTTGTTTTGAGTTCTTTCAGATTACTTTGAAGGCAGGTTTTGGAAGGAACTAATGGACGTATTCCCTTTCTCCAACACTTCTTGCAGGTTACTCAAGACAGTGTCTAGACGTTGGATTCAACCAGTGCATGTTATTTCAGGACACACTATTTTTAGCCACGATGAGGCAGATTCTCACTCGAATATCTGGCCCTTGTCCCTCACTTGCAACAGTCTAGATTTCATCAGCTAGGATTAACGTCAATCTTTGTTCCCCTCGTGCAGTATCAAGCTGCAAGTCAAATTTCTTCACCCACATGTGGGATAAGTATCTTTATTGACACAGGAACGAAAAAGAGCAGATTTTTCAATATAGACTGTATCTGCAGAAAAAGCCGAATCTCCTAGTCAAAAAAAAGCACTAAACCCCGAGCCTATATCCTGTTTACCCAAGGTTTATCCAAAAATAAGCATACCTACAATCTATTTCCAAGTCAACTCTTGAAGAGATTTGAACTACAAAATCTTCAGGGGCACGGAGCGTAACTGAGGACTAAAGGATCAAGGCCCCAGTTTACTTGGGATATGCAGGGATCCATCCTATGCACCGACAGTACAAATGCCAACAACAACAGTCTGGGGTGAGGTGAAGAGAAAATGCAACAGCAACTTCAGCTGGAACAGGATCCATCCGCCTTCTCCACAGCTTGCCTCTCACTAAGTGGCCCCAAGTAGAGGGCAGTAAGATGGAAGGTGAACAAATTAGTTTTGCAAAAACCAAGCTTGCATTGAATTTTTTCCCCCTTTTCTCTTTTTTGCCCAAATAAGTTTTCTTTTAAGCTACTTGTTACACTTTTACAGAAAGGCAAATTTTATGTACAAATACGTAATGCAAAAAGCCACACTCTGTACTACCTCACTTTCATTTATCTTAAATTTTTGTATTTTTTATAAGAAGCATTCTTCTTAGGTTTTAGCTCCAGACACCACAGATCACTTGCTTGAGGCCCTTGATTCAGTAGACCTATACTAAAGAGCAACCCAGAAACCTCAGCCAGCTACTTGTATGTAAACTTCATCACATATGGAAGCATTTTTTAATCAGTGAAGCTTTACATTTAACTCAGAACAGCTGAGCAGCTTTGTATTAAACTATTTACCAGAGAGGAAAATATCAAATTCTCCCTCCTCCCCTTCCTCCCCCACCTCACAGAGAGGGAGAAAAACATATTTCTTTAAATACAAAAACACAAAACATGCCTTGTACAGGGAAATTAACTTCAAATGTTCCCTGCAACAGTCCAGAAAAAAATGAAATCAAGCTTCTAAAATTGATGAGAAAACCTCAGTATTGAGTACATCCGATGCAAAGCTTTAAATAACTGATGAGACTGCAGATCCCTCACGGACCCGACAGTGCACTGCTCCCGAGGTAACAGCGGGGTGCTGGAGCCTCACTGCACACAGTGAGCCGGGGAGGGAACTGTACATTGGTGTCAAGTCCCACAGCACCCAGCCCAGGCCTCTTCATCCTCCCACAGCCATCCAGAAAGACCTCAGAGGAAGCAAGAAGCCAACCTACCGTTGTCACCCCAACCAGGCACGAGAGAAGGATGTGGAAGAGAAGAAAGCCAAGGTGGCACATCACCCTGGCACAGCGACCCCCCTGCAGACCCTTACCTTGGCAGGTGTTGTTCTTCTCCTCGTAGCCTGCCTTGCACAAGCACTTCCCGATGGGCACCAGCCATTCTCCCTCAGCACTGCAGTGCATCTTGGGCGCCTCGTCGGTCACCGAGTGGTTGACACAGACGCCTGAGACTTCTAGCAGCTGTGAGGAATCTGCTCCCGTGATGGTGTCTGGAAAGCGGGCCAGGTTGCGGACCACTGACGGGCATTTCTTGTAGTACACGCGCACAGAGACCAGGGCGATGCAGGCACCCACGTCCTGGAAAGCAAGGTAAAATCCCTTTTTGGTCAGGGGCCCGACGTCTCTCACCTCTGTGTTTAGCTTCATAACTCTGTCGCCAAGGTCTAGCTCTGTGAAGCTCTCATCAGCAGCAATGGTATCGATCTTGATATACTGATTCTCTCTGATGTTCCTCCCATCTTCGTCATCCGACTCAAAGTAGTACATGTTAAAAGTCTCTTTGCAAGTCCCGAGTCCTCCTGGAAGGCTGTTACAGTCCCTCAGGGTGAATTTGAGCTCGATGAAAATGCGGGATGCCCCTTGGTTAGAGATCCAGCTGGTCAGAAGCCAGTTGTTCTGATTCTGTTCCATTACCTTGCATACTTGGTATGTGTGTATCGGAGCATAGTTTTCATCCACCTCACCAATTTCTTCCCACTGCGTAAAAAGAAGAAGTATTACTTTAAAAAAAAAAAAAAAAAGTAACAACTCCCACAAAATCTGAGCTTTCCCGTGGAAGATCACCTGAGGACTCAAAGGTTTATGGTGAGATGTTCAGGGGGCAAAACATTTTGGCTTGGTAATAAACAGATCAGATAAAAGATCCTTTAGAAACTTAAATGGATGCTAGTTAAAAAAAAGGTTGTCAGAGGCTTTTCAGAAGCGGGAAAATAAAACTGCTGGGTCTGTCCACTGGTGCTTTAAGTGACAAAACAAAAGCAGATGGGGCCATGAGCTGGCCTTTTCCAATGCAGCCACATAGGTGAAAAAGCTATTTACAGCCCGTCTGTCCCTGCATCCCCAGGCTCCTTCCTGCTACTCCCTCAAATCACTGCCCAGCACAGTGAAGACGAGCACATTTCTCCAGGCTGTTCTCTCTCCCACTGAACAGCTTGCTGGAAAGTCAGCGGTTGTGCATGAAATAAAGGGGCCTTTGCTCCCCACGAGTGCTAATCAGAGGAGCTTCTGCTGGTGAAACAGCAGAATACTTGCCATAGAGGAGGATACAGGATCTGCAAGACTTGAGCTGCTCTGAGGATGCTACCTGGGGTTTTTAAAGAGCTCCAGATAACTTCTGCCAGCTGTTTATGGCAATTGTAACAACTGCTTTTTCGCTTTAATTTGGTCACACACTAAAGTGAATCCCTTGGAAGAAATGCCTTCTCCTGGTCCAGCACTACAACGGTGCCTCCAATAGGAACATGCAGCATTAATGCCTTCTGTCTGCTTCTGACAGCCATGGTACCACATGAAGAGGTTGGATTAACCCACACACAGTCAAGAACTCAGGAGAACCAGCGATGATATCAGCTTTGTTCCTCTCTCCTAGTTCTGACCTGCTCATCTGCTAGGGCTGAATTCCCAAAGCCTTTTCCACCCTCCCCGTGCCTCTGCTCAGCGCTGCTGCCTGCTTCTAATCTTAGCTGTGGACAGAGCTCAAAGCAAGCGCACAGAACATAATTTAAAGGTGCTCCGATACAAGCTAATACAAGCAGAATATTTTCTAAGGCCAAAGGCCAAGATTTTATTGGAAATACCACCTCAGATGAAGTCGAGAGCCTTCTCAACCCAGATATCATTACCGCAGAGCTGACAGGGAACACCCTCAGAGTCAACATAATAATGACATTTTTTCAGGGATACGTTTTTCTTAAATTTTATGTGAATACGGCAGCAACGAGTGGCCTAAAAACATAACATAATGCTACAGTCTAAAACGAGTTATAAATACCATCGGCAGAAAAACATTTCCACTCTTCCATGTACCCTTCCTCCCTGACCTGGGAGGTACAAATGCAGACTCTTTGTGCAATTTTAGCAGAAGCTGTGCCTGCTACGACGTGCAGAGTCCACATACATCATCACTTTTCTGAGCGAGGAACCTAAATTCAGGATTTTCTTCTCATGGTATGCAGCATTGTCATTTCAGAATCCTCCATACAACCCTGGGCTTAAACAGGCCGCGATTCTACTGTCGCTTTATCCCTCTTGACAGCGCCACAGACTTCGCTGGAGATGCCTAAGGCTAAAGCCAGGCAGACCTGTGCAGGGTTTGTGCCTAACTTTGGGGAGAAGCAGCTAACAATTACACAGAGTAACACAGAAAAAGCGTGTAGAAGACAGCACAGATCTGCCAATAGCTTCTCCACGCCCCAGAATATAGGGTGGGTTTGCACATGTGAAATGAAAAAACAGAAAAATACCACTCTGCAATACTGCGTTTACGTGTTCAGCATGCCATCCATACCACAGCACCCCATTTAACATGAGGCTATATGAGCACAAGGTCTGTTCCCACACTGGTGATTCTGCTGGAGGAAGAGGAAGGTGTCCCCCCACACCCCTTCCAGCCAGGGCAGAGGTCCCTGCTGCCTCTGCCAAGCGAGCACAGAAAAGACTGCGATGACCTGAATGACTGCAAACCTTTGCTCTTTCTGGTGAAGGTCAGAAGATCACTCGAACCAGCAGATACTGGAGGTATTCGCCTCCAACAGGAGGTGGTGAAAAGCATCCAAGGAATAGGTGAGACCAAAGAGTTTCAGTGAGTGGGGATGGGTACAGATGGCCACAGAATGCACAATGCAACTCCATATGAAATTTAGAGGGTACCTGATGTACATTTCTTTCCAAAAACTGATGTCTGCAGGGACCATAATGTTGCAATCGTATCATTAGCGATCTATCTTGACGGTGTACCAAAAATCCTCAGAAAAAATACTTATTTTAATTTAGATTGATGTACAAGGACAACTATAATGCCAGAATAATCTCCAGAGTCACAAATTAAGCTCCTTTCTGTAGCTGCTCCAAGAGTTGTGTTAGTGGAGGAAAGCTTGGTTGTTCAGAAAGGAGCTCCAGTGGCTCTCATGGTTGCTTTCACCCATGGACAGCACAGCGTTGAGTAGGAAAGTCCAAGCATAAACACACCAAGCTGAGGTGTAATTTCAGCTGTAACAAACGTCACTTAACATCTCAGACCTCAGAACGTGCTGCGCTTCCAGCAGGGAACCCCAGCTCAGAGCAAGTCCTGCCATCACCACCTGCCATCAAACCTAAAGCAATCCGAGAGCAAGAGGAAAGGGAGGTGCTAATGAGTTACGGCTGCTTATCTCCGTGTAATCCTCATGGGAGGATCAAGTAGATCCTATCGGAGCAGCCTCTATTGTATAAAATCTCTGCTCTGCCATTTAATCCCATCTTCTGCTTGCCTATCTGCATGTAGGAGGGCACCACGTCTTTCTCTTCCAATTAGTGCAGCTGGGTTTGCCTCACCCCCGAGACCACCGTTCTGCTTTCACATCCCTCCATGAGAGGGAGATAGGGGAAAAGAGAAACCTGCACCTTCTGCCTGGTCCCAGCCTCCCAGTTATTGCAGACCTCCGACAGCCACCTCGAACAGCGAAGGAAGAAAAACTAGCTAGAAACTCTGCAGGATGAAATGCTGCGCCATGATACTTAATGAAAAAGGAAACTCAACGCATTAAAATGACAGCATCTAGCTGAAAATATTTGCGTTAAAAAAAAATAAGTGCAACTGAAAAAATGTCTAACGCTTTAATTCCTCTCCTGCAGCACATATTTTTGAAATATAAATCAACCCCATCTGCAGGATTAAAACAAAAATGCAACATTAATTTGGTGCTAAATGTTTTCTCCAAGTCTTTAATAGCTGTAAGAAGGAAAACACCAATACATTTCAATGGCCTGATGTTAAATCATTTATAGCAGACCTATTTCTGAATCTGAAACTTCCAGTACACCGCTGCTAGCGAGTTAACAGAAGCTAAAGACTGTGCTCAGCTCCATCAATAGCAAGCACGCAATTCATGCGGGCTGTCTGCCCGTGGAAAGGCCAAAGATATCACACATCTAACTAATACATACATAAAAGCTAAAAAAGCAGTCAGTGGAGCAGCCTTGGGTTAAATGGACAATTTTAAAAGCCATTCACCAGCTGTCTGCCGCTCGGGCTTGCTTCTAAGCTCTGGGATTCCAGGACTGCAATGTGCTACCGCAGCACAGCACCAGGCTGCTGCCCCAAAAACAAGCTCTGATGCTGGAGACGAAGATTTCAAAGCTTTTGTGTGGTCTTTGGTGTTTGTTCTTTGGTTGTGTTTGTTTGTTTTTTAAGGTTAGTTTTGTTACAGACCTCCATCTGAAGCAGCCACCAAAGGTGGTGTGTAAATTTTAAGCCTTTCTTAATTCTACGCATTTTAATGCTGCTAAAAGAAGTTCAACGTTTAACTAAATCCTAACAGTAAGAGCAAAAGGAGGCTTAGGAGCATTAAAAGTGGTTCCCAGGACTTCCCAGAAAGCTTTCCAGCAGGATTCCCTCCCTCCCTCCATCCCCCTAAGGACCATCTAAGCTACTTCTGCTCCCACTCCCCATCTCACAGGCCCTCTGGCACAAGGATCACCTTCTCCCACTCCTTACCCCATTGCATGGAACCGTACAACATGTGCATGGTAACTCAGCTGTCTGGGGACACCAAGATGTAAAACTGGAAGAGGATTTAGGTATTTTCATTCTTTTGCCTCTGGAGAAAAAAATATGATGTTTCCTTCAGCACATCATCCCGCCCTGTGCCTTTTTTTCCCCCGTTATGCTTGGTCCTTCTCTGTGAGACACGTGCCAACCCAGCTCCTATGGCAAGTTCTACACGGGGAAGCCTGGTGCCTTTCCAGAAGGGCAGGCCAGCACACTCAGCTTTGTGCAGTTCATCCCTGTAATATTTGGGCAGTCTATTCGACTGCCTTTTAGGCAGCAGATCGTAAGACCTGGCTGCTGATCAATAGCCCCCAGCTCAGCTGCCACACACACATTTCCACCCGCTGCTCGACTTCCTCCAGCAGCCCTCACCTTCCCTCCTTTCACTGCTGCCCATCACAAAACCCAAAAACTTCATGTTTTTTTTTTTTTTTTTTATCTGCCTGCCAGCTTTCTACCTGCTATCATTCTACAAAGATAAAGCAAATAAGAAGAGCCTCTGAGGAGGCTCTCCTCTGTGCGATTTCATCGACTTCGGTGAGGTAATGTAAGGTTAAGTCTCTGGTGGAAGCCAGGCAGAGCACTACGCATCCTTCTCTGTAGTGCAGAAGGTTTTTTAGGGCTGTGTCAGCTGTATAACAGCGATCTTGTCTGCTACAAAGCACCACTTAAATGCACAGGCCCCAAATTTCAACTGCTTAATCAAGCCTGCCACCAGTATCACAACCCTACGAGTTTCATCACAACCTTACGGTGCACTACATCACTTAGATCTTCAGTTCTGCAAGCCTGAAGCCCAAACGCTGCGTTGGGACACCACCCTCAACCAGAGTCCTTGCTCACTGCACCGTCCTGCTGCCACTCCTGCATCACTCAGCCAGCAGCCAGGGGACTCCTTCCAGTCAATTACAAGTTCAGAGCAACTGAAGGATGAAACCATTCACAAACT